GCTGATTCGAATGGTGGTGGTTTCATCGAATTCTGTCCAGTGGTTCAAGAGTTATGATCGTTTTTGTAGGTTAACACCACACAAAATAAAACCACCTAGATACAAAAAAATGAATGAAAGAAATTACACTACTAAAATACGTTGGCAATGGGAATTCTATATTTGAAATAATAGGTAAACTGATTAAATAAAAGATAGTGGCATTGACAAGAACAATGAAAAGAATAGTAGAAAGCATTTTGAGAAAAAAAGAAAAGATAAAAATTGAGTCTGAATAACGAAAAAAAATTGAACAACACAAAATAGCCGTAATGGACTTTATAAAGTTTCTCAACAAAAGCAAATTAAGGTAGCTATCATCTTATTACATACTTACTACACAAAGTAACCCATAAAGATACCTAAAACATATTTATTACCTTAACTACACTAATCTACCACAAGAAAACTTTACCTATGCATCGCAACATTGACATAACAATAACCCATGCTCCCAAAAAAAAACTAAACATTCAAACCCAAAATTCCACAGAACAAGAAAAAAAAAATTACAAAATCAAACCTTTTTAAAACCCACTCATCCAAATAATACTCCGTACTATCCTTTAATCACCAACAAAAACATAAATAAAAACCCAGTATCAAATCAACTAAAAAAATAACTCTAATAATAAGAATTATAAACTAACACCAAACAAGAAAAAAACAAAAAAAAAAAAAAAGAGAAATAAAACTCACCGATAATATAAAAAGATATCTTTTAAAAATAACATCAAACAAAACCAAACCCAAATTTCCTGGTAATATTTCTCATAGATACCATAATAATGAAATCATAAAACCAATAATCCATCCCACTAACAAAACAAAAGGTAAACCAGCTTCATTTAATATAAATTAATTAATCGACAAGTTTATTACGTCAATAGATAGCTTTAGCAACAATTACATTATCTCACTGATGAAAAAACTCTAGTCATTACAAACAAAAATATTGGAAACTAAAATCAAAATAACAAGATTAGCATAACTTCTGACAAAACCTATCAAAAAGACAATCCTTTGAAAACAATTATCAAATAGAACACTAATTATAATCCCGGACAAGAAAAAAAAAAAAAAAAAAACAAACTACACAATAAACACAAATCAAATCAAAAACTAAACTAATAATCCTTCACCTAGTAAAAAAGAAATGAATATATATATAAAGTATATACCCTGATATACAAAACCAAACAACCCAATCACTCATTAAACTCACAAACTATATCTGACACAGATGAAACCACAATTGAAATCTAAAATAAACAACTCCAATAAACCATAACTAGAAAAAAAAAAAAAAAAAAAAAAAAAAAACAAACGAAACTCACCACCAACCCAAAGTCAAAACTGAACAAAAATTAAAAAACCAGAATAGATATATATACAACATAAAACGAATAATCATTCAGGTTAAGTCAAATCGAATTACAACCAAACCACAAAAATAAGACAACTCAAAATAATTAGTTTACCATAATTCATGTGAAGTTTTAAACCGAATCACGATAAATTTGTAACACCTCATAAATCACCTGAAACGAATCAGGTTAAAATCGAATTAACCCAATTTTATACCCAACCGATCACAGACACGAGATCACACCCAACCCCAGAATCTGATTGGACATATTAACAAAGAAAAAACTCCCAGCACATAGGCAAGTGCCCCACTTGTTCAAATCATAGCGATTTATTTATGTTTTCCAAATTTATCTTTGTCTTATCGTTAACGTTACATAATTTACTTATGGCTTGGAGAAATAATATTTGTGTAGTTGTCTCAATAGGTAATGAACCTATATATTTATAGTTCGAACGTTCTTTTTTTTCTTTGAAACTTATATTGAAATATATCGGATTAAGACTTTGAAACATCATATTCGGTGTGTTTGATAACATTTAATGTTTTAATGTTGTGTATGTCGAGATTTAAGTCTCTATTTAACTATTAAACCTGCTAAAATCAATTTACAGTATATTCTTTTATTAATAATTCTAACCCTAAATTCTAATCCTAATCCAAATAAACAAAAAAAAATAAAAATGCATCAAAAAGGTTTAAAATTTTTGATTATAATAATTCAATTCTCAGCGTCAGTCGCGACATTTATTTTCACAAGTTCACTTCACGCGTTTGCTTCGAGAAATCGATCTTTAAGTTTACAATTACCCATGATTTTGTTTAATAAATAATAGGGATTTGCCTATGCAAACAGACAAAATCCGGAATTGATAATTAATGATACATGACCTGATGTTATATGATTGATAAAAAAAAACAGTAATTCAATATGATACAGAATTTAACAAAGTAAAAGCATGGAGGTTATCTGCATTAACTTCACGCCCTAGAAAACGTCAAAGAAATTTAGATTATAGACCTGTTGAACGTTTCAAGTTACATTTAGGAGACTTATCGGATTTAGAGAAGCCTAAACTACCTGACAAATTAGATTATAAAAAGGCTATTACTGATTATCTAAGGGAAATTGGTTGGTGATCTTTTTTTTAATGTTAAAGTGAGTACTTGTGATCTAGGATTTTATTGATCTAGTTGCATTACAATTATAGGAGACAATCATAAAAAGAGTGTAAAACTAATCATTTATACAATTTTAGTTATTGTCTAATTTAAGTAGTTCATTTGAAGGTTCTACCTAGTTGTTATACTTAAAACTCATCTGTAAATTTTTTATTTAAACATTTTAGTTTTTGTATTTACTCACCTATCTATTTTATCAATTATTCTAGTTATTATCAATGTAAATATGTCATGATTACAAAGTTTTTAAAGCAGTTCATTTACATAGAGAATTTTTGATTTTGTATTAAATTCATTAAAATTTTTTGTATTTTATATTTATAGTTGATTCAATATTGTTATAGTTAAGATTAACACTTGCAATTAGAGTTAATCATTAAATTATTATATTTTTATAAAGTTTATTAAAACTTCAATACATATTTTTTTAATATTTTCTTTATCGGGGTGTGGTGACCTAGTGAAGTGGATAGGTTGTCAACCCCCAAGTGGCAGATCTAGAGTTCAAATCCCAGTGACGGCGAAAATTTG